AGGAATGTATCACATATGTGGCCATTCAAACCCACCCTAACCATTGACATGGTATAAATGACGCATAATGTGTACAAACAAATGTTTTCCCAGTTGATACACATCCACACCACAAATTCAAGAAGTCTGCATTATTTTTACTAACACCGACAGGGAAAGTCCTTCGGCAGGAAGCATTATAGCAAGTAATCCAAGAAATATTGTAAGAAGTCATCTAGGTTTATCCTGTTCACACTGGAAAGGGCCAAGATCTGTAGCAAAGGCTAATGTGAGCAAAGTTCACCTTTGCTTGTTGTGGTGGAATAGAAAAACGCCTCAAGCAATGTGGTAATCGTTGACCAATATTCTGCCTATATGTGTTTACAAGCGAAGTATACACACATACTCAGTGTGGATATTTAAATATATATAACTGGGGATCATAAATCACAGTATATGTGATGCAAGGTGAAGGGATGTTAACAAAACGGGCTCAGCTGGTATCACTACACCAATTCCACTGTTGACTATACAGAACTGGTAAGATGGCCATGTATTGCCAGTAAAAACAAAAATCCGGTTCAGAGCCTGCTGGATAAGAAAGGTGTGTCTGTGTCAATAAATCATCAGAGGGTGTGTTACTGTACATCAGCTGATGGCTTATTAAAAGAAAATACACCTTACAGTGTCACACCATTGTGAAAAAGGAAAGCATACTGTACCAAGGAGTGGTTTCTTGTAATTCCCACAACACCGGTTATTTAGCCACGTTAGTTTTCCTTTCATTTCCTTTGGTATCAATCCTTTAGTGATGAACTTGCAAGTCATGATGCTGTGATAATGTATGTGGGTGTGAGTTATGGAAAATTACCACTTAACCTTACAGTACCCAACAATCAGTAAACAACTCTACGGGCAATTAAGTGGGATTCTGTGTGGCAATGTATTCAGAGCTTCAAAGAGAAGTTTGCAAATGTTCGATTGAAAACGAGACAATTCTTATTTGTGTGTTAATTTAAGAGTTCATTGATGCCTTCAACATCCCTAACAAACATTGCCACGTGTGTATCATATACTTGGTAACACACTGCCTTAGAAGTGCACAAATAGAGTATTGCTGTTTGTTTTATATTCAGAAAAAGAAAATGTACTCATTAATACCCACAACTGTACATAGCACTTTAGAAGGGTCAGATAGTCCTACTTATTTAAGTCATTTCACTGTCCACGTTGTAAAAAGGGTGTTGGTTGACATACCAACTTTTTCCTCTACAGAAAATATCTATATATCAGAAATAATGGGTGAAAAATGTAGTCATGGTGTGCGGGGAAACTGTGATTCAAAATAATATATTTTTCAGTTTTTCTATCCTGTTGGTCTATACGTAGAGATACACATATTTTACAGAGGACATTCAACCTCCATATGGTGTTTAATATACACACAGAGGGAGATCTCCAATATGAATCTTTCTGCAAGACGGGGTTAGAGACAAGTGATCGCATTATTGGGAAAATAAATATGTTTTCAATCCAATAGACGTACTTTGTGGATAATTCCAGGCATCTGTGTCCAAAATGCACTCACAGCAAAGCAGAGTAGCAGAAGCAGGAAAGCTAGCGAGGCTAAATGCAGACCACAAAATAGATAGTTTGGTAGCAGTCACGGGATGGTCTACCAGCTGAATGACAGTCCTTCTGCATCATCAAGCTAAACTCTCTGCCTCGTGACAAATCAACCTGAACTTCATAACTACCACTCACGCTGGAAGAGGGAGGAAAAGAGAGGGAAAAGGAGGGAGAGAGGGACGGCGTGCGACGCGAGGAGTGCTCCCTATACTTAGTGAACTTCTGGCGTTTTAATGGGCCTGACGTAGTTCCATGCTGTGGTCTGAGGTCTCTCCACCAGCATCTATTTTCCCTCAGAACCAGTCGGAAAAAAGCACGGAGCATTAAAGCAGGCTAAAAATGTGTCTGATGGCAACCACCCTTGGCTGAAAATAGACCAAGAAGGGTATTATTATCATTAATGAGGTATACATTTGTCCACTGACTTATCTCGGAGTCATAGGCAGTTAAAATTATTCTGGAGTTTGCCCTTTTTTTTGGCTGGTTTGGTGAAGCTTAGCTATGAAGATGCTGCGTAAAGATAACCTTTTAGATTGAGCTGACAAAATGAGAGTCTCAGTTTGTTGCTTTAATAACCATGTAGACTGTCATGCATGTTTTTAGCCTATTACCTTTAAACCAAATGTGCTCTACTTTTCTGCTGTCCTCTTTCCAAAGCAAAATGTTTGTTTTGAGACATTTTCTGAACTTTTTCCTTTTGGTGTCAGAGGGTTAGGGTTAGGGTTATTGTCACTCACTGGAAATACCCGTTTGGTTTTAAAGCCTGTTGGCGCCTGGGTAAAATGGCAAGAGGCAGATTTGTAAAAGCCCCTTTGTAATTTGGTCACAAACAACCAAGTCTTTTGCCGTTCCTTGTCCGACAATTTTGGCATCGGTCCTTAGCAACCAAAGTTCCCTGAATGTCTTCGTCTATCCAATTCTGGTAGCAGTTTTTGTGTAAATTACACTTTTGCCAATCTTTTTTAGATATTTAGATTAGATCTATTAAAAGGAAATTCATTGGATAGGGGAGAACTTTGACCTACTATTGATTTTAGAGAAAATGTCTATAGGTTTCATATTCTGGGGGCCATACATTTCTGAGAAATCTGTCTCATTACAATGCATCCAATGGTTGCTAAATAATGAGGATTAAAAGACTGACCCGCTGGTTTTCCTCTGACTTGGCATTACTCTTTAAGAAGAGGAATAGAGCCTGGTGGTGACCATAAAGGGGATGCATCTCCACCCACTGGTTAGCATATAGGGATTTAAGGAGCAAAGGCACAACTGCAGTAAAAGCTGCCAAGTGAGTATACAACTTACTCACTTGATCCCTGTCAGACCTGGCCAAATTCTGGAAGGCACCATATATATACACCATCCCTTTACCTCTAAGTTATTTAATTGCAGTCAGAGGACTATAGGTTTTTTACATTCTGCTGATACCATATGTAGTTCTCCTGCAAACAGCAATTACAGTTTGTCAACTGTCTTTGTTAACCCGTCTTCACTGCTTAACGCTTTACCACGCTATCAGCTAGATACGGATGGCTGGCTCTGATTCAAGAGGTGTTTATCAGACAGACATAAGTCTGTGAGCGTAGGGACATCTTATCTGAATTCATTTTTGATGCCAGGAAGTGTGTGTCTACGGTACCACAGGAATCTATTGCTGGGCTGCTCATAAGTTTTATATATGATAATATATATGCAGACGATACACTTTTATACTGTGCTTATTCTGTTTGATAAGCCATTTAGAAATTACAACTCACCTTCAAGCTATTGCGAAATACTATTATGTAATGTAAATAGGTAATGAAAATTAAGTACATGCTGTTCTCGAGATCCAGAGATATAGTTATTTGCAGACTGTATCTCCACTTGGACTATTTTTAAGGTCGCAGTCACAATAGTCCGCTTCTCTGGTGCGCACCAGATGACAGTTTGTTACATTGTTTCATTTTTCAGAAGGTTCGGTTTGCGTTCACACGGTTCACACCAGCGATGGTCCGCTCCAGAGTTCACTTGCAAGCAGTCCGAGACCACCTCTTTTAACGAACCGCACCGAGGGTTAAACGCACCAGGGTTCGATTCAACCGGACTAAACAAGGCTGGTGTGAATGCGACATAAGAGTAGGTCAAAAGGGCAATATATCATTAACACCTTCTTATTAATACATATAACAGAGTCAAAGCAAGGCCTGTGTGTATAAAATGTATCTGTCAACCTATGATATTTAGAAGTCAATGTGTTTTTTTAGTCAGAACCATTTACCTTGAATGCAACTCATGCTGTCACTGTAAACTGTTTAAATACTGTCTATTGCAAGGGGTACCTGCATCTTTATCGTTTGAGCATCACTATTGTTGCCTTGTTTTGAATTAAAATGATTCGCAAAATAAGGTTGGACAATATGAGATAGTGAAGCTGTGTCACATGTGTTTATCAAAACAACCCCTCTGGACATCCGCGGTACCAAAAACCAACACCCATGGTTTCCATGGCACTCTGATGGACGGCAAAACAAACACAAAGAAGAAAAAAACGTCTCTTCCTTTTTTGTCTTTCTTAATTTAGAAGTTTTCCAAACCCACTGATCCTTCATGCTACCCAAATTCCTTTCATAAGACCAGGCACGTTTCAGAGGATAAATCATTGACCAATATTAAGATGACCTTGTTCATTACTTACATATTACCCATTTATTGCCACATCAATCACATCATCTCTAAGATATTGAAGATATTAGATCACACAAATGTAAGTACATCTTATTTAGAATTGCAGTAGCTTTTTTATCCGAAAATAAATATTTACATATTTGTCTTTTTGAACTCTTATTATTGCCAGGACATCTTTAAAGGCCCTGACACACCAGGCAGTCACCAGAGAACTCGCCGACACCGACATCGACTGTTGCATCGACGAGTTCTCCTGCGTCTTGGCCATGTGTCGCACTGGAACACACCACAAAGACTTCAGCCGAGCACGTACGAACTGCGCATGCGTGAGTGGCAATAACTCTCCTTACCAGCAGGCGGCGGTAGTGTGTATTCGTCATTCAAAATAGGCAACAACCGGAAGACAGAGAAGAAGAACAGACTGATAAAAACAAACAACAAATAGCGTGTGCGTTCCATTTTCACTCTCGTCCATCGAAAACATGTTTTAGAATATAAAAATACATGAATGATGAAATGAGCACATAAAGTGCAGACATACTATAAAATCACAGGTAATAGACCTGCATCTGATGATCGCAGTGTTCTGGCGGGTGTGTAGTTTATTGAGTCAGCAATGTAGTAATGTATGTAATGTAATAATGGCCACTTCTTGCTAACTTTACATTTCCATGTGATGCTTTTATCCGAGGCGACTCACAATAGGTAAATGAACAGCAGTAGACAGTATCTCATTTACTTAGACACTGTACTTAAGGACAATGTTGATTTACTTGAGACTAATCCTGCAACTTTATACTGACAAATAAACCGATGAGATGAAAAACCGGACTTGACCAAACAAATCACGGAGCTCTCAGCAGAGGACAGCCGGGGATGCTCCCGCCGATATCAGAGATGTCCCTGTTATGTGTGGGAGGTAAGAGAGGACATTTAAGGGATATGTTTGATGTCTTTTAAGTATCACCTGCTGGTGTTTAGCTGCTGTCCTGTGCCTTCTTAAATCGTTTGTTTACGTCCCTCACTTCCGTTTCGCTTCTCATTTGATAGCTGAACAGCTGATCAGAGTGGTTTCTTGGCCCGATAGCTTGTGTCCGACAAATGGCCGATTCAACATGTTGAATCGGCCATGTGTCGACCGTGAAAGGCCAAATAAGGCGTGTCACGGCCGAGGGTTCGGGACACACCAAATTTACTTTGGGCGACAAGGCACGCTTTGTCGCCAGACAACCGAAGACGGCCGATATCGGCCTGGTGTGTCTGGGCCTTAAGGCGTCGGCCCCACGAGGGCGCATACGGTAGTTTCCGTTACAATTTTGTGTCATATAGACCGTTCGGCCACACTAGGACGACAGAATATGGCAGTAAACGACTACGGTAACGATAACGGGTCCCGAGGTGGATAGAACGGCATACGGAACGCTCTGGAGGGTCAAACGGCTCCGTGTAATCGCCTCTATACGATCATTTTCTGATAACGATGAAATAGCCCCGCCTCCCTCTCCCCACGTCTCCTGTGATCAGCTGCTGGGCTGTCAGAAGAGGGGGAGGAAACGAGAGGCTCCGTTTATTATTCTTATATTATTAAACAGAGTCGTTATCAATTTGTTTTAAAGCTCAATAAATAACAAAGAAGACCTCTGACCGGCACTTTTCTAATCTTGTACGGAAGATTTAAACTTTAACGGACATGTTGACCGGCGAAAAAAAATGCTAACTTAAACTCTGCCGCATGGTTCCCTCGTCCCTTGGAAGAGGCGGAGAGGTGGGTGTTTTTCATCTGCTGGTGGACTATCGGAGAGATATACAGCAGGAGCACACACCGTCCACCGCGGAGAATAAACAGAAGGGCAACCATGGCAACCATGCTCCGGGGTCTTCTTCGCTGCTTTTGGTGGAGGAAGTTACAGCGCCACGTACAGGCTCGGCATATGTACTGCAGCTTTTCCAGCGGTTGGAGCTAAACGGAGCTGTCTCGTGTGAACAGACACTTTCCGGTGTCTATTGCGTGTGGACGGAAGCCTTTTTTGCGATTGCGATTGCGTTTGCGTATGCGTTTTACCGTATGCGCCCTCGTGGGGCCGCAGCCTAACAAGTGAACTTCAGAGCGTTTTCTATTATAGTCTTGCCTAATTTGGCAAATTGACTGTGATGTTAAATACAACACAACACACCTTTATACTGCACATGTGTATGTATGTATATGTGTTCCTTAGAGGCAGCCATTGGGTTCATGATGACGCATTAACCCTGTATGAACTACACTGAGAGAGATAAAGGAGGTGTGACGAGAGAGTAAGAACAGGAAGAGAGAGATAAGGCCAAGTACGATGAGGTATGGTGTTCCTGATGACCAGACGGGAAGTGCGTGTGTGTGTGTGTGTGTGTGTGTGTGTGTGTGTGTGTGTGTGTGTGTGAGGGGGAGTTACAGTAGAAGGAGGTAGTTGGGTGAGGAATATAGAGAGAATAAGGGAGGAGAGAAGAGTAAAGTGCAGGGGAGCGAGGGAGGACAGAGAGTGAGGGAGTTATCTTATCTTGGCTGGTGTATCGCAGTGGCCTGCTATCATGCACATGGGGGAGGGCGAGTTCTTTATCGTAAGCCAGGAGTAGTCGAGATGACTCCTATACTGTTTTTAAAAAAAATGAAGTAAATAGATTTGTTTTATACTGGTGTTTGTGGGGCGTTTGGGTGGCTCACCTTATAAAGGGGAGTCCAAGAACTAAGGCTTTAAATCTGACTCCCACACACTCCCCCTTTGCCTGAATCACCTATATTTGACTCCTTTGTTTACTTAACTGACATAGTGACATCACTATGTAACAATTATACTTCTTTTGGCTAGCGCTAAAACACAATGCAAGTGATAGCTAAGTGGTGGGACATTTCCAATATATTTCTAAGCGGTTGACCAATCACAACAGAGCCGGCCAGCTAACCAATCAGAGCAGACTGGGCTCTGATTTCAAACATAGGGTCAAAAGAGGTGCTGCAGCACAGGCAGTATGAGAAAAATACAGAGCTTTTTGAACATTAAAGCATGGAAACATGTCACAGTAGAGGCACAACATACAAATATGCACCTGAAAATGAGCACAATATGTCCTCTTTCAATTCTGTCTGTGTCAATCTAACAAAAAGGACGTTGACCTATTTAAAGGAACAGGGAAGTCTTTTTTGTTATCAACTTTTTGTTATCTATTTTGTTCCTTAATCCCTAACTCGCTTAATACCTACTGGGAGCATGGTGCATTATTATAGCATATCAACCTTGGAACCATAAATTAATAAAATATATAAATAAGTAATATGTGTATGTGGTATCTCTGCTGACATAGGCATATTTCTACTGATGGCGGCACACACCCCAGAGGTTTATTGACTATAATGCAGATTTAATCACCACCTACATGGCATGATTTATGGGTATAACTTTACACTTCTGGTTTGCACGCACAGGTAATATAATTATATTCAGCTTATACAGTATTTACTCAGGGTTACAGATGAGTCACAAGCTTTAAGCACACACCTTTAAACGCAAATGATTGTATACGCTTACATATGATAAGATACTGTATGTCAAGGTGCACAGACACACACACCCACATAGAAATAGATATGTGTGTGTAAGCTTTAAAAAACAACAATATAGGCAGATTTGTAGAAAATTATTTTAAACACACATTTTGAAAAATTACACAATTGTGCCAATTGGTAACATGGTCTTCACTCAAGTACAATCATTTTAACTTAAAAAACTACAATTTTATCCTCTGGCACGATAGCTCAACATTTCCCATCTGGCAACGCTTAATACACTTGCACTACTCACACACTTGTGCACACACACTTCTGATTCATGGCTTTTGAGTGATTGCAGGTCTCTCTCTTTATTTTATTCATTTATTTGCATCACGTAAGGCTATAATAAAACTGAAGCACAGTTTCAAGTTCAAGGCTTTTATTGTCATTCGTACATAGCTACAGTGTAGTTATGTCGATGAAAATCTTAGGACCCAGGCTCCTCCAACAGTGCAACACAATAAAACTAGTGCTGCTACAACTTCGCTATAACAGAGATCTAGAGGAATGCAAGGAAAAACACTGGCACAGATTCCAGTAGTGGTTTACCCCCCCCCGGACAGACTTTACGGTTAAGTTGGAAAAGTACTTCTATCTGTTTTGAAATGTCCTCAGCCTGCAGAGCGGGCAATGTGCCAACACACTCTGCACCTGTGTCTCCACCCAGCAGATTTGAAGGGAAATACTTCCAGTTGAGTTGCTGGTTGGACCAGTTAGGTTGTTGTTAGTAGTAGTAGAAAAACCAGTTCCTCTAGTGTGTTAGTGGATGTTTTCTCAAATATTATGTTATGAAATTCTCGATTCCACATATGCAAAATCAAAAGCTAAATTGGTGAAAAGGACTAAGCCGTATTTGGTCAGAAAAGGGGACAAAAGTTAACATAAGAAGGCTGAATACTGCATAAACATGACATGCCGATACACTTGTATATAACTGCTGTTTTTGCAAAAAGTTGTCAACATGCCTCATTTTTGATAAAAAATGACCCCATAATAACATAAACGTCATCCAATGCTTTCAATGTTTAGACAATAAATACTTTGGTGCAGCAAACAGGATTTGTAAACTATTTGAACCATTGACCCATGTCTTAGGGTTCATTTCACAGTTAATCATTATGCAGTTATTGAGAAATCAATTGTGAAGTCACCAGAAGCTACTTAAATTGAAAAGGCGAGAAAAAAAATCTGCAAAAAAGCCTAAAAGATTAGAATGGCACTGCACATGTTTGTGTGTACATGCTTGTGTGTGCATGTGGCGTAAAATATCACACATGATACCGCAACCCAAACATGACCCAACTGCTTCAGTAAAACTGCGGTGGCAATGTGCTACATTATCAGCTTTAACATCTCGTCACTTTTAAACAAAAACAAGTTGACGCCAGTTTGGGTTTTTGCTATACTTTTTGTCACATGGTATTTAAAGCTGACATAGGGTTATGAGTGAAAAGTGACAAAAGAAATGTGATAGAGAAATCAGCTGAATATATTCTATACGTTTGCAGCGTACGTGAGTGCCAGCTGTCTCCATTATTAATCAGCCATGGCTATTTTTTGTCTGGAAATCAAATACCTTGCCTGTCCTCCATGTGTAAAATCTACTCCCTATCCAAAAATTGGCATGAAACTGTAAACCTTGTGTCTTAATCTATTTCAAATGTCAGGTTGAATGTGCATCTCATCATTCACTTGTTGTCTCCTTTTTATCTCAGAGAGTCTACATCATGTGTCTGTACTATCACCTTAAATGACTTGTATGGGCCCACCTTTGGGAGACAGCTGTCATAGATAAAATCTAGCCCTTGTGCGTGAGCAGCTTTCAAACAAAAAGAGCTGAGAGGAGATGCAATGACAGAGAGAAAGATCCACACTTCACTTTTTCTAAACCACAGTTGAAAAAACAACAACTATTATATGTTCTTGCTCTCTCTCCACATGAGGCTCCACTTGATCCCTTTAAGCAGGCTCTAATTCGATTAGAGGACTTTATTAGTTGCCCAAAAAACAGAGAGGAAAGGTAGATAGACAAGTAAAAAGAGGGAGAACAACCGTGTTGCTTTGATCCGTCTGGCCTGTGAAATATGCTCCTTGTCCCCTCCAAATGCCCTTCATCACCCAACATTCACTTACTCACACACACACAC